TTATCAGTCATTTAGTTTAATAAACACCCTAACTACAACAACTAGTGTAAGGTAGGATAAGCATTACAGAACAAAGGAGCAGACAGTTCCAACACAGTGTGAGGGAAGGTAGAACTACGTGTGTGGCATTTTCTTAAAGGAGAGGTTGGAAGCAGAAGGCTACTTTTAAAATCCTTCCCTCAGACACTTGAAGCTCTAGACCTGAGCATGCCATCTGTCTTTCATGTTGCTAAGAACGTCTTCGCTTATCAAAACAAAATCAGTAAGGGAATCTAAAGGAATGATGCCGTTAAATATGCGTCCAATAACTATTCAGAATACTACAGGCTTGGAAGACAGACCTGGACACGACCTGTGCTAGAATCCAACCCTGAGCACTTCCAGTTATGGCCAGCTCTTAGCTGTTTGTCTGCTTTTATAGTATAGTGTGTGCTGGGAGGAGGTGTCTGCTTTTATTTAGATATAGTCAAAAAACTTTAAGTTCCCAATTCTTTCTTTTAAAATCTCCCCAGAACTTCTCAGAAAGCCCAAAGGTCACATTTACAGACTAGATGCTGAGCGGGATTTGAGGGAAGCAAGCCTGCTTGAACTCCAGGCTCTCCCTCTCACTGCACCAGGCACACTGTTAATCTTCAGATAGTTACTGTGCAGCCTAATGATCCATCCTGGATTATGAACACTAAATCCCTACCTGACACGCTCATAAACAGCTTTGTAGGTTGGTTTTAGCTTCCTCATTTCATCGTCGGGGACATCTGAAATTCCTAAAGATCCTCGGGTGCATCGTTAGAGCCCTCGTCTAAACAAGCACTACTGAGTAGCTCAAACCAACGGGGATTATCCAGAGGGAAAAAGATTGGCACTGTTCATCGTGCTTTGTTTGAACTGACAGATAAAAAGCAACATCATGAAAAATTGATAATGTGATGTGATATACAGAAGGCTCAGTGACAGCAACAAGTAGAACAGAGACGTCAGTACTCCCAACTGCAATACTGACATGCTACAATGTCATTGATTACATAACCACCCTTCTATTGCTTTTCTGGATTCTTTCTGTGTGGCTGCTTACACTGCTTGCTTGACATCTGCCTCAAGAGCAATAGCACTCGCTCATCTATGGGGTTCCTTATGGCCCATAGGGCATTTCATGTCAGCACTTCACTGGCTGTTCAAATACATCAAGATATGTAGAATAGCAACCACTATCGATAGTCTATGGATCTGTACAGAGGAAAACATGGCACCACACATTAAGTGCTTTCAAGCTACCATTCTGGAGGCTTTCTATGTTCCAGACTTCTGGGTTAAAACACTGTGTGTATGTGTACATGGGAGCATGAATAAGCATGAGTGCACATACATACATACACACACACACACACACGCACGCAAAATAGAAACTGCACAGAAGATCCTGCCTCATAAAAATTACCACTATAAATGCTGGGTATCATGCCACAATCCTATAATTTCAGAATGTAGGAGGCCCAGCAGGCAGATCATGAGTTTGAAGCCAGCCTGAGTTGCAAAGTGATTGCCAGGTCAGTCTGGAAAATGGGTCTGAAAAATCCAGACCAAACCAAACCAAACAAAAATTCAAATATATTTCCAGTACTCTTTTTGAGATGGGTTATAATGTATAGGAATTGTTTATGTCAGCAGGCAAGTATAAAACACACAAATGAGAAAATGAGTTAAGGAGTTGCATACATTGCTTTATAAGAAGATCTGAAATGGACTGTTTTAAAGAACCAAACTCTCCAGCAATTTAAAAAGAAGTTGATTCGTGGAAATCTGATTCATATTTTTAAAAAACCTTCCCAAGTACATCTGTTATAGAAATCCATGCTCACCTGTACTGTATTGAGAACAGAGTGATAATAACACTTATACATAGTTCTCATTACAGATTTTAAGGAGATTTCCACTAATTTATTACATTTGTCTCTGTCAGCCTTTTAAGGAAGGCAAAGACAGTGTTATTTTTTCTGTACAAATGAGAAATCAAGAGGTTAAGTGACTTGCCCAAGGTCAGACAGGCACTCATTCATTCACTGCTCTGACTGATGTAGTTTTAACGGGGTAATAGAGGAAGTAAGGTCCTTCCTCCTATTTTTTTGAACAGCTGCAAAGGCTATTAAAACAGAAGTTGATGATCTCACAAATACAATGCTGAACGAAAGAATCCAGACACAAATGTGGACATACTGTACGAGTCAATTAGTGTAAAATTCAAATGCAGACGAAGGTAACTCATGATGACACTAGTCAGAATGGTGGCTAGCTTTGGGATGAGGATTGGGGATGGGGCACAGAAACTTTCTAGCTGTTGGTCTGAGTTGTACATTACTTACATCCATTTGTGAATAATCACCGAGATGTATAAGAGGATTTAACCAGTTTTCATATTAAAGAAATGCTCACTTAAAGCAGTAATTTACACCTTTGAAAGAGATCATCTATAAATTCATTTTAGAAGGTCATTAAAGCACAAACCCTTGAGACATTTGTTATTTCATTTACATTTCTTGGCTGCATCTAGAAAATGAGACATGAACTCATCTGAAGACTATAAAGAGAGAGGAAAAGGTTTATAGAATATATGGCCAATATTTATCTGCATTTGAGGAGATTTTTATATGAGATGGGAAATAGAAGCACAGTAAAGTAACATTATAATTCATTTAGGGCTAGGCAAAACACTTATATTTAATGACTTAAATTAGGAGTGGAAATAGCTTAGTGGAGCATGTACTTAGCCTATATGAGGTCCTGGATTCAGTCCCTGGTACTCCAAGAACATAAATAAAAATGAAACAAGAAACTGCAGGAAAGTGAGATTATGTATTGTTCATATAATCAATCCTGGAGAAGAGATAAACAGGAAAAGCAGTAGTATAATTCTCCAAAGCACCCATTTAACTTGAGAACACTACATATTTTAGGATGTTCAACTAGGTGCCAGAGTGGAAAGTGGAAGCCAGTGAATGATATGTCTGCACAGACTCGGGGTACGAAAGGGCTCCTGAGAATGCCAAGTAGATTTTAATGAGTCCCCAGGTCCTTAAAACAATTCTAAAATATATATCCTACTGTTCCAAGAATTTTTCTTTCCCTCTGAGTCTGCAGCACCATGAGCCAATGCTGTCCCTCCATGAGGGTGATACTGAGGCCAAATGTGTTTTTTTAATTTTATTTCATTTCATGATATGGACATTGTTGTTTTTCCATGGGTGTTGAGTCCCCTGGAACTGGAGTTCCAGGCAGGTGTGAGCTGCCATGTGGGTGCTGGAAATTGAACCTAGGTCCTCTGGAAGAAGAGCCAGCGCTCTTAGCCACTGAGCCATCTCTCCAGCCTCCTGGTGTTGAATGTTTTATAATTTTCTTTTAAAGTAATCTGGACCAAATATATATCTTGATCTTACCAGTCACAAATAGAACGATTTCCATGTGGTGGTAGGACTTGGACCCAAGTGCTGTAATTCCACCACCACTAGTCAGATCCCCAGGACTGCACTCTAAGGCGCCCCCTGGAGCATGAAGCCTTTACTCTTTTCTGTCAGTTCCCATGTTTACTTCAGGTTTTAGCTAACTGTTATGCTTCTGTACATTAGCTTTTCTAGGCATGCAGTAACAATTCTTAAAATACAATCTGCATAATTTGAGAATGGGCATGAGGCTTGATAGGCTCACTCATTCTACATCCCAGATTGGTATGCTCTGGGTCATGCATTCAAGAGTGGACACAGAGGCTTCATTCTACATATCAGATTGATAAAAGCCACACTCTGGATCATACCTCACAGAAAGATCACCCTATTTTTTCCCAATAAGGTTAAAAAATCATACAGCAGGTTATAATGGCGGGTTGAGAGGAAGAGGTGGACAGCAGGTTGAAGATGTACCCTTTAGGACTCAACAAGCTGACATGCCTTTTATACACTGGCGGAGGATCTAAAAACCACAAGAACTGGGATTTTTTTGTGTCCATGCAAATTCACCCAACATCATTTCACTATGTGCTCTGTCTGATTTGGTTGAATGGTAGAAACCCAAAATTTCTCTCTGGGTGAAACCCTCCAGCAGACAAATGAACAAACAACAGAAACCCACCTCTTCATACAACTGTACAAAGATTTTTGTGTGAGCTCCATTCATCTTCCTGCCCCTCTCTTCCTGCCCTAGGGTTACAGGCTCAACACCCCACTTGGGCTCTGAACTGAGGCCTTCATGCTCTTGCCCACTGAACTATCTATCTCCCAAGCCCAACATGGTTCATTTGGAATTAACAGGCACATCTCTGAACTTAACCTCTGTTACACTGAGCTGCTTGCTGCAGCTTCTGACCTTCTATACTATTCTTTCTCCCCATCTCCTCCTCTGGACCCCCCCCCCCATTTTCCCTCTATCTCTCCCTGTGTTGTTTCTATGGATATATAGTTGTAGTGGTTTGAATGAGAGTGGCCCACATTGGCTCATGTTTTCAAATGCTCAGAACTCTTTGATAAGATTAGATGATTAGGAGATGTGGCTTTGAAGGAAGAAGTGTGTCACCTGGGGTGGTCTTTGAAACCTCAGACTAGCTTGTCTCCCTCTCCTTCCCTCTCCTCCCCCCCCCCCATCCACCGCTGCCGCCTGTGGGCCAGATTGTAGCTCTCAGGTCCTTCTCCAGTACTTGCCTTCCTGCATGCTGCCATGCTCCCTACCATGATGACAATGAATTAAACCTCAGGAAATCTAAGCCAGCCCCACTTAAATGCTTTTCTTTATAAGAGTTTCCGTGGTCATGGTGTCTCTTCATAACAACAGAATCCAGAGACAGTAGTATTGTGCTCCTTAGCATGAAGTAAGTAGGGACTGTTATTTTCTAACTTTCACAGATTGATAATTGTGTTTTGGGTTATATGAAAAGATTGATTGCTCACTCATAAACTTGACCATAGTTTTTTAATAACCCAGCTTTCTATTATTCTTATTAAATAAAATGAGATACGTACCATCAAACCTTGTTCTCCTGGCTTCCCTGGTTCACCCTTTTTAAAAAAATAAGAACAATAACTCATTAGAAAGAATTTAATTTTTTTCAGCTATCTTCTTTCCCCCCAATACTTTCCTGGTCATGTGACTGTCAAACACATTTTTTTAAAGATTAAATAGGATGTAAATATATCACTAATAGTTGATAGCCTTCCTCTGACTGTAATCTTATAAACATTTTAGAGTTTAATAAACAGTCTAGCTTCTCACGTGCTCCCCACACCGATGCAAAGACAGGAGGACTCGTACAGGGACTAGTGCAGGCAGGTTTTAGTAGTGAAATGAGCAGAAGCTCACTTTGAAGTTTGCTCTTTTGCATTAGTCAGAGGTGAATGAACATGTTTATTGAAACTAATATAGAATATTCTGCTGCTTCCTAATGACTTTGCTTCACAATGACCAGGTTAATATGGAACTTAGTTGTGTTTTATCGTCACACCATAATGACAGCCTCTGACTACTGGTTTACAGAGATCTGTGCCTGTAATTCCAATATACATAGATGATGTTGGTCTTTCAAACATGAATATTTTTCAGATAACATTAAAATGTATATTTCTTTTATCCTATGTATATAAGTATGTTGCCTACATTTATGCATGTGCACCAAGTACATGGTACCCACAGAGACAGAAGAGCATACTTGACCCCTGGAACTACATGAAAGGTAGGGGTACAGTACCATGTGCTGGGGACCAGAGCCCCAAGTGCTCTTAACTGCTGAGTCATCCCTCGGCACCCATCCAATTTTTATAGAGTGTTTTTTTCTAGTGGTTATGATAGTATATGCAAATTACCTCCAAGACTGTTATAAAAGTCAAACCTATTTCTAGAATTAATTCATTTGCCCTTTGTGTAAAGGGTCCCATTACCAGAGGTTAACATCTGGTGTCTTCTTGATTACAGTCAGCCTGACTTTTGAGGTAGGGCCTCTCACTGAACTTGGATTTCACTGATTTGGCTTAGACTGGTTGGCCAGCGAGCACCAAGGATCCTCTTGTCCCTGCCTTCCCTGTGATGGGGCTACAAACTTGGATGTTGGGGCTTGAAGTTTGTGAGCCATCTCCCAGCTCCCTAATAGTACCTCCTAATAGTAACATCTAGCATGAATTTATTTCTTCCATAGTATGTAATATTTGATGAGCTAGCCATTTTTGTAGCAATGACATGTTGGACTATTGTGTCTTTGTTTTGGTTCTTTTTAAAACAGGTTTCCACATTATTCTCTAGATGGGTAGAACTCACCGTGTAGCCCATGCTGGTTTTTAAAATACATCTTTAAAAAATGTTTATTTTGTGTGTATGTATACTTGGCCAGCATTTATGTCTGTGCACCATGTGTGTTCAGTGTCCACAGAAGTCAAAACACAGTGTTGGATCCTCGGGAACTGGAGTTACAGGTGGTGCTGGGAATCAAACTGGGGTTCCATGGAAGAGCAGCCAGTGCGCTTAACTGTTGTGCCATGTCTCTAGCATGTGCATGCTGATCTCGAATTCACAGCACACTTGGCTTTGCCTCCTGAGTGCAGGCATCACAGGAATTATGCCTGCTACTTATGGGAGATGTCATCTGTAAATATGATTCTCTTATTGGTTAATGAATAAAGCACTGTTGGCCAATAGGAAAGCAAGATAGGCGGGACGAGGAGACAAGGAGGAGAGAGGAAGCAGTAGGGAGGAGATTCAAGATGGAGGACCTACAGGGTAGGATGCTGGTCTCTCTCTCTCTCTCTCTCTCTCTCTGGTAAGACCACATAGAAGTACTTAGATTAATAGAAATGGGTTAATATTTAAGACAGAGCTAGCCGATAAGAAACAAGAATCTGGCCAACAGCATTTATATCTAATACAGGGTCTCTGTGTGTTATTTGGGGCTGGTGTGGCGGTGGGACCAGACCAGCAAGGAAAATCTACTTGTAACATGCTACATATCACCATGGCTGCTAGCAAATGTTTCTAACTGGTTATTGGAGGACAGACACTGTGGTGACTTGCTGTCAGTGAAAGCTGTCAATCCCCCAAAGCCATGGAAGGCTCTCCTCAGGAGTATCAGAGTAAGAAAATGTCAGACATTAAGTTGGTAGGGTTAGGATGAATTGACCACCTACAAATGTTCAGGGGAAAACAGTCCCCACAAGCCGTTGAGTCTGTTCCTAATTTCATAGGAGCAAACTCACAACCTTCAGAAAGGGAAGTGGGACTTTGGAGGAGATGACAGCAAACAGGGATAGAATGTCCCATATCCTCACACACAGATTAATCCTTACAAAAACAATACAAAAATATGTGCATTAAAAATTCAAAGACAATGTATGATAACATTGACAACTATGGCTGATTTCAATCCCCCCCCCCCGGGTTGTATTTTCAAATATTTCTATTTTGTTATAAAATATTTTCAACATTACTTTTGAGCTAAAGAAATCATTAATGAACATCATTTTGGCAATGCATTAAATAAAATTAACTCAGCAATAAACCTTACTTTCTAGTTCTGGGATCACAATATCAACACAGTCTTTTTTTTTTTTTATCTCGTTCCTATATTTCTTTGCATTATAGGGCTACATGTACCAAGTCATATCATTTATTGGTATCCCATATTTTTATTATTTATTGCTTTTTATTATTGCTATGCCAAATTCTAGTGTTGAAGTCATTTACAAATAGGTTCTGTTAGATAAGCCTCAGATGCAAATGTCAAGTGGTAATATATATGGTCATACCCTCTGGTGCTTAAGTCATTAATTTGTCTTCATTAAACACCCAGCCACGTCATTTGCAAGGGATCAGTATCAGTATCAGTATGCTCCACTTGCTTTCCATTAGCAGAATGGGGCTTTATTGTGTCCACTATGGGCCTTTAAGAACACATCATCAATAGTTGGTTCCATTTTTCTCGCTAACAACCCACTTCACTCAAAGAGGCAGTGATTGCAGGTTACAGCAAGACTGGGAATTTCTCATTATGAACTTCCCAAAGCTCATCAAGATCCATGTAGGTGCCGTGTGCAGGTCTCTGGCTCTTCTTGGGCCCAGTGATGAAGCTAAACACTGTTGAAGTGGCCTGCAACACTCCGGACTGTCCTCTCATTCCACCTCCCCCTGCCTTCCTTCTCCACTCACCTGACCTCTTGGCCCTACAGTTGCTTGCTGGCCACCCTGCACATCTCACTTTTTACCCCTCAACAAGAAACAAAGTCTGGGAGAGCAACAATCCAGGCGGAAACTCACGGGCACTCCTGGCATTCCTCGGGGGCCATCCTTCCCTGTGTCCCCTGGTGGGCCTCGTGGACCAGGAGGGCCTGGGGGTCCTGGAGGCCCTGCCTGTCCTTGGTCACCCTGGAATGGAGCAAGAGAATGAACCAACAGTAATCATGAGCCATTAATATTCGGGTTCTATTTCAACATTTTAGATTCATATTATCGAATCTACATTTATGCTAAAAGAACCAGATCGTCATAAACATGAAGCTTACTGGCAAGCTACCTGTCAGCAAGGAGCAAATATTTGTTGCGGGAGAGCCAAACGGATGCTATGAAACTAAAGCAGCTCTTGTCTCAGCAGCACGGCTCTCAGAGTACGCTGTTTATTACTGTACTCAGAGCTGTACAAAGCCCTTGTTTAAGAGTCTCTATGGCAACGCTCTATGGGACACATTTACCCTGATCAATGGGTGGCTGCATTTCCAGTTTGAAAATACATTTGCTCCCAGAATCAAAGATTAAGCATAGTGGGCTTCTGTTCTATCTATGCATAATAGAAGCATAATTTATCAGAACCAGAGGGCTCCAGAACCATGTGTCCATTGCTGGTTCCAACTAAAGTTGTCTTGATTAAAAACCAGGTGGGCTTTCTATGCCATAAGTCACCAAACACAATCTTATTCTGGGGTATTTACAAAGACCCTCCCCCACCCCCCACCCCTCCACCCCCCCACCCCCGCCCCGCCACCATATATGCGCCATGCATGAGAGATACAAGCAGAGCAGCGGTGCCCAGGGCAATACTTGAATGCGAAGAACTCAGACTTCAGCAGGAAGCAGCACTACCTTAATCAGCCGGCGTTTAATGAGCTGCTGATCAGCAGAGAGAAAGCCATGATTGATTTTAGGAAACACCATCTGATCAGTCAGGTGAGGTCAAAGGTTGAAGTTCAGAGATGAGAGAGTTGAGGAGTAAGCGTCAGAAGGCCCCGAGGAAGAAATAAAGATATACACATTAGAGTCATAGCGACCATTAAACAAAATGGAACCGGTGCTCATGTCTGACCCACCCCCGGCCTCTCTGGAAGAAAGGCAGCCTTGAAATGGACTGAGTCCTGACTTTTGATTAGAAATGAGTCCCTTTTGTACACCATCATTTGGATGTTTGGAGGGTGGTGTCTTTTATGCATCTACTTCCAGAAGCAAGTGAAGCAGATGATCTTGTATTCTGCACCCTGAGTAGAAAGTTTACAGACTAAGCACCAGTTCCAAAGCTGTCAGATTTGTCAACCAGCATAATAAATGTGGCATGAACCAGGTATTGACAGCCCAAGCTAGGAGTTCTTAGAATTACTTAATTGGCTGGGAAAGCATCCCAGAGTGTTGGGATGTGTGTGAATCCAGCCGTTGGCCATGGATATGAGGCAGCCTCCTAGGAAGCCATGCCTTTGATTATCGCTTTACTCATGGATGCTCAGGAGGGCCTCCCTGATACACCTGAGGTCCCAGATGCCCAACACAGTCAACTGGCAACAGGAGCAGAAGCTGGGAAAGGCCATACATGGTTCTCGTTCACCCTTATGCTGATTGTGCCTCTGACTGAATGAGCATGAGCATCGTCCACAAACCTTGACGGTGAGGATCTGATTGCTGTGTAGGGCAGCAACTGTAGGGAAGCCTGGCAGGCCCTAAGGACGTGGCACAACACCAAAACAACACGACACAAAACGTCACACAGACATTTTACTGGTAGACAAACAGAACAAGGTGCATGCGTAAATCCTCCCCTTCCCACTCAGGGTCTGAGCACGCTTTGACATATTAGACACAAGAGGCTCCCAGGTTAAGTAGCCATTCTATAAGGCATGGAATGGCAAGGCCGCAGACTCATTGTGGTGGGATCTGTATGCATTCTTGTAGGCTGTTTGCAGTGCTTAATATTTCTGGTAGCTTCCTTTTAATGGGTTAGTACAAACTGGAGCTAACTGCAGACATTGTTATGAAAATGTTCTGCTCACTGCTAGTCTGTTTACAAGTTAGGACATCTCATACATAGAACACACATAACAATTCTTTTATCAACAACAACAGTGAACAGAACTTTACTGTCAGATTGGAAATACTCTTCAGAACAAACATAGTTGGTCACATACAAAAAGCGTTACCACCCAACCAATCAAAATTCCTCTCTGCTCTTGGGTCTGCCCTGTTTTCAGGAAACTTCGTGAGGTGGTAGATGGAAATCTGTATCTTACAACATGTGTATTTCATGTCAGGGTGACTCACAGTCACCTTCCACAGTAATCACTTTTGCCACGCAACCTTTCCAACAAATATGACAGTTCACACAACTCCTTAAAACAGAAGTGTCTGGGGACTCCTTGGGCCAGGAGTATGGGGGAGGTGCTGTAGAGACCCAGACTGTAGCAAGTGGCATAACGTTATCCTCACAGTGTTATCAACTGGGGAAATCTCAAAGAGAAATTTTGCCCTTTTCCAGTCTTTCTAAAAACAACATTTGAAATTGGAGCCTTTTATTCCCTTTAAAACTATAAAACATGTTTTATATAAGTATATACATGCAAAGGTCAGAGAGTTGCTAGGTTTTCAACCTTCTTAGTTTATCAGTGGGCATTTTCTCTTTGTTTTCCTGATGTTGGGGATATGGTTTTCTTTTTAAGATAATCAATAGTCCATAAAATTAGGTGTGAGGCATGGAGATGCACTTCAGTCCTATTGATTGAGCCTTTGGCTCTCATTGTCTTTGTGAGTTCTTAGGAAGCTAAGCAGAAGGACCCTTACCCCTTGTGCCAAGTATACTCTGATCAGGGCTTAAAGTGGCTGGGCAGGGTTGAGGTGACCTGTGTCCTCTTTTTCTTCTCCCTAAATTTAAGTCCTTTAAACATCTACTCTACCCAAACTCAGAAATGCCACAAGTTGGGAAACAGATGTGTACAATTTGCTTTTGTTTTTACTATGGAATATGAGTTTAAAATGTTATTAGATGGTAATGTGCCAGGATCTTTCCATCTGTGACTCATTAGCCCTATATTACACAGTCAGAATTTTATATATGAACCTCATATTTATGTAACAGAGAACAAAAACAGATACAAACAAGAAGTCTAGGAGGGATCAGAATCGTGATTAGTGGTGATAAATCATACTGTCACTTGAAGTATGATTATCTAACACAATAAGTTTAAATTAAAAACCTTTTAACAGCACACATGGTAGGCCTTTCAAATGTTCTGAAATTTCAACATATAAATAAGTCACTTCTTGTGTTGATATTTGAGCAGGGCCAGATTGTAGCTTCATCATATTTGCAGCACAGCCACACGGAAGGACTAAGCTGTGTCACTTCTTGGTCTGGGCTCCCAGGGAGATCTAAAGAGGAAGTGGCTAGGTAATTCTGACCTGGACACTTTCTAGGTCTCAAATCAGAAATCTACATTTGAAGAACTTCATCTTGCATTGTTAGAAAACATATCTCAGTCATGTTAACTGTGAAATGCTACCACGTGGGCTGAGAGCTGAAACTTAAAGACTTCTGAAATGGCCTTGGAGGCTATGTGTAAGTAAGGCATGAAGAAGGACCCCCTAAACTCCATCGAGTACCCTAAGATTCTATGCTTTCCAAAATGGAGGGAAAGTGACCCTAAATTTTTAAGTTAGTTTTAATTAATATATACAATAAAAATTTTTACATTAAAACTTTATTTTAAAGAACTTTCTAGTAAAAAAAAAATGCAGTAAAATGCACCCAAGGTTTTCTTTTTTTAATGTAAAACAAATATTGTTATACTTTGGAGTAGAGTGCACAAGTTTTCAGATAGATTACCATTTGTGATGATAATGAATCCCATCTTAGAGGACATCATCTACTTTACATGTAGCTCTGTGCTTCTTACAAGATGGTGTTAGTGTTGGTGTTGAGCACTCAACTTCAGGGTCTGACTTCCCATAAGAGTGACATCTAGGCTCCCCTAGCTGTTCATGCACAGGTGCACAGATCATTACCCTGCCATTCCCCTATTGTTAGTCATAGCCCTTTCTAAATATGTGAAACAGGGAGATTTCACTAGGCTTTACATCTCCTACAACTTGCCTGGTACACAGATGGTTCAAGCGGGTGTGGGAAAAAAATGTGTCTCAGAAAAACACGGTGAAAGAATCCAGAAATATGCTGAAATACTGGAATAATTTGAACATATTTTCACCCCTAAATATTTTGAATTCTTAAGAAACAAGATGTACAATTGTGTGATTCAGGCTACCTCATGCATCCCACATTCGCACCCAAGAGTGCAGACACTCAATACATCCATCTTTGCATTATCCTGATGTGCAGTAGGTACCATCTCAGGTACTGCTCTGCCAGTATCACATGAGGGCTGCAGAAAACATTATCACCCTCTAGAAAATAAACACTCCCTTGTGCCCAAAGGGACTTACACAAATAGATAAGTCACGAGAAACGCTTCTAACTACTTAGTGGCCATAAACTCAAGATGTCATTTTTATTGTATGTTCGGTAATGAAAAGCGTTACAACATTACATTTTATTGATAATTTTTGTTCTGTCAAACATAGCCAATAAAGCATTGATAGAGGCATAACTGTAATCCTAGATGTCTACTCTCAGGTTTTTAAGCTTTTTAGTTTGTGTTTATGATCACTAATTTCTATTTGTTTTATTGTTTAATACGAGAGAGTTTACAAACTGACAACACCATTGAAGTAGCCCTGATTGATTGCAGTCTATGTAGCACTGTCCCACATCATAGGGACTCAATGGGACGCAGGGTCCCAAGCTCACAGCATTTAATACCTGAGAAAGTGGAAGAAAATAGGTAGGCAGGAACTATATGGGTTGATGAGTACTGTGGTGGTAGAATAGGGAGACCAGAGCCAGGCTCTGTGGCAAACATTTGTCATTCCAGCACGTGGGGGGTCTGAATCAGGAGGATTACAAGGCTAGCCAAGTTGGGCTATTTGGCAAGACATCCTCTCACAAATAAGCAAGCAAGAGAGCAAATAAATATTAAAAACGAGGAGTACACTTTGCATCTGCTACCAAAAATGATTACATGTGCAGGCGAGGTTGGTACTAGAGCAGAACAGAAGAGAGGGACCTTTGGAAGATGTTGTAATAGTCCAGTTTAACTGTGTCCTAGGACCAGGGGAGGGACAAGTCAGTAGTTTTCAGCGCTACTAAAGAAGAGTTCTCAGAATTTGTTACTCCAATAAAGACAAGAGTGGGAATGGGGGTTAGAGAGTGCTCATTGGTCTTAGCTTGAGTAACAGAAAGATGTGGAGGGGATCCAGAGGACAAGTGGGGGTTTGAGGCAGCTGTTGCCACAGGTGTTGAACTGACATGGATTTGCTAAACTTGAATAGAGTGATGGAATGGTAATTGGATCTGCTCACGAAAGAGGGGAGAGGTTGGTGTGTCCGCGGAAGATACGAGAGTGGAGATGGAACTCGTTGGATAGAAAAGCAGGGCAGCTTGGGGCCGGGAGGGCAAGAGAGGACAACAGCTGGCAAGTGAGCAAAACACAATGCTGTACAGGTATGGGCACGTTGGGGTGAAACGTATTAAGTTTATGCTGTTTAAAACACAAATACGTGAATAAATAAAGATAAAGATAGAGCTGAAATTGGCAGTCATGTGGCTGCATAAAGTTATCCAGAGACTGTGGAGAGAACACGGATACGGGGAAGTGCAGACTTCAGGGATGAGCAGAGGTTGAAGCAACCAAGAAGAGATTTCATAACAAGTGGTTGCACCTGCAGGGAGAGGCTGCCTTTCCTCCCAAAAAATTCTATACAGGTAAATGACTCAAAATGAAAGACACATGTACTTTTATGTTGCATTTTTAATTTGCATTATAAATGTACATAAATGAACCATA